GGAGAATCTTAAAATGCGATGAAATACAGGGTGTTCCGTTCGAAATATCAATGTTGCTACTACTTTCTAGTAGAAGCGACAACACTGCATTGTCGAACATATCTTAAATGAAAAGAGCGTATACCAAAATATGAGCATGCACATTTTCATGGATTTCTTCCGACTGATTCTCGATTTAAAGATAGTGTAAGCTCGTCGTGACATACTCTGTATAGGGTAATGAAGTTAAATGAATACAGAGAAATATGAGTAAAAATTGAGAGAATTTCTCTGCACTCACCAGCGAGAAAAAAGTGAGGCTTTGATGAAACAACACGAAACACTAGAACAACACACGATCCCGATATTATTATTATTATTGAATCGAATGAGGAATACAAAAACACTATATACGAATCAATACGATCACTCAGTTTTTAGGGCACACTCAGTTTGGAACGATAAATAATTCCTTTCGCGTATTTTTCGATGTCGATCACAAAATTCGACCGTTCGTGATGACATCTAATATAAGACTGTCTTGATTTACCACCTGGTCCCGAATGAATGACTAATAAGTTGAATCATGCTGATAACCGATTATACTTCCGAACAAATGATTTATCTGTGACTAATGCTGATGATTAAATTATACGGGGGGAAATCTATGACTGATGATGATGAAATTATACGGGGGGAAAATATATAATTCACGAAATACATATAAGATGAAGTATTGATCACGGATATACTCTGACAGTATTACTTTCGAAAGTCTAATGATTGAACACAGGCTGAAAATATAATCTGCTCTAAAATCTCTAGATATGTTTTGATAACTGGAACGAGTAGGAGAATAATGAACAATGTGGCCTACTTTTTATAAGCGCGCATCAAATTCGACATTTGTGTATGTGAAAATGAGAAATACATGAGAATATGCATGCTCATATTTCAGAATACGCACTCTCTTCATTTAAAATGATTTCAGCAATGCAGTGTTGCCGTTTCTATCAAAAAGTAGCAACAACTTTGTTATATCAAATATATAGAATACCCTGTATTCCATTCAGATTCTCCCTGGAGAGCTGATTTCATCAATACATCAAACTAGGGGTCAATCGGGAATGATAACAGTAGAGATATGGGGTGTTCAAAATCGAGATTTTTCAACTTCAGGATTTGTTTGTGCCGAAACTATTCATTATCGGCCAAAACGGCTCACATGTCCCTATCTCAACTTTTCATTCACTATTTAGTGATATTCAATCGGAACAGATACAGGGTGATCAGAATTCTGAATATCTTGAACCAGCCAAAACACCTAACCCCTTGCCCCTCGCCCCTCGCCAGACATCAATGTGCTTTACTTGTAAAAGGAAACAAATCGCTTTCAATTGTGAAGAAATGACGAGAACCAACTAAGAAATACGCCTCTTTTTTCCATACATTTCTAATTTCGACCTCAGTTTTTGATGGTTGACGCAGTCGAAAGCTCGACTATAAGATCACAAAGAATTACCGCTGTACATTCACCTTAATCAACGTATTCCATGGTTTCGTCAGCGTACATACATTTTTTGTAGGTACGCTGCTTTTGTTCAGTAATGATAACATAGCTATGTTCGTGGATTTTTCAGGACGAAATCCATGCTGCCTTTTACTCAAGACAGAATGTTTATCAAGAAACGAATTAAGACGTTCCAAAAAGGCATATTCGAAAACTTTCCACAAGGGACTGCTACAGGATGAACAAGTGTCAAGTACTTCTCCTCCCTAAGGAGGAAAAGTACGACGTTGCTTCCTACATTGAGGCAAGGAAATGTTTTTCCGCTCTAGCGCATTGTAAAAATTGTAAGGTGATGGGCACAATGAAAAAGTATACGTGATTTTTTATCATTTTTACCACGCATATTTTGCTCAATTTACCGATTTTCCAGTTCGGTTTCTTCATGTTTACTTTACATGTTTTGAGTTTATCTTCATCTGTTGGAAAGCTTACAAATTGAAATTTGCCATCTAACTGATTGGCACAGCCTAACACAGTACATTTCGCCATTTTTTTAAAAAGAGAATAGGAAAATATCGTATTCAGTAAATAATATCCTTATTTGATAGTAAAATGTTTTTATTTTCTTGAATTTTATAATCATTAACATTCAGAAATCATTTGACACTGTCAATATTTTCTTTTTTCAACAATATACAAAGATTATTGGGAACGAATAATAAAATATCATTACAAGATTACTAGTTCACTTGGAGAAAGTTGTTTTGCTATGCAAAATATTTCTAGAAAATATTCTTTCAGTTAAATATTTACCAGCACACTATATTCATTTCATTTTTTACTTCTCTTCAGTTCGGCTATTCATAAAAGCGTGTTTCTTTAGTTTTTCAAGATACCTACTATTCATTTTATATTCGTTTTCAGCTCGGCAATTTATCTCTTCAGTTTTTCAAACTACTATTTATGTTCTACTTCTTCTTAATTCGAAGTATCTACGAACGCGTGTTCAATTGATTTTTCAAACAAAAATCAATAGAAATATTCCTTTAGTTGGAGCTTTTTTATATGAAAAATCCATAGCCCATTATTCAAATTCAATGTTTTAAACAAAAAATTCTTGAACTTGGAAAATCTCGATTTTTCACACCCTATATTTCAGTAATTATAACTGCTAGACCCCAAGTATGATGGGTCTTTGAAATCAGCTCATTAGGGAGAATCTCAAAATGAAATAATATATAGGGTGTTCGATAGAAAAAAGTTCAACTTCAGTGTTTTATGGTTTTTGGGGACACCCTGTATGTTTCGAAATAATTTTAAATGGTAGCCTATGTTGACATGCAACTTCCTAGAGAGGAAGAATTCCAAGAAGATAAGTGGTTAGCCTTCTAGAGACCAAGGAGTTACTGGTAGCCCACCCTGCTGTATATCCATTTTGGAACATGAGAGTATCGAATATTAGTAAGTTTCCAGACCACCCATGAGGCACCCATGGCTGGTTACTTGTTTTTAGTGGGTGTTCGCCAATAGCCCTATCGTCCCACATTTGAAATAATGATATAAAATTAAACTAAATCAGAGTTCTCAACAAAATGAAATATGAATATAACATTAAACTTGATAAAAATTCTCAACAAGATTGAATAAAAATAAAACATTGAACTTGATGAAAATTATCAGTAGTATATGGAACTTCAAGATATGTATGTAACAATATGAATAAGATAAGTACTATGGAAATGCCAATAATTCTAAATTTTTGATTGGTAGAGTTACTCTATGTAAGATACACGTATATTCGAGATTATATACAAGCAGGTAACTTACTCAATTGAACATTGTTCTGATTATTGGTTTAAAATCATACGAAGAAAATAATCAACAAAATAAAATATGAAAACATTGAACGTAATGAAAATTCTCAGCAAATAAATGGTATATTCTGAAAGTTTTTTGTGGAATAAGAAATAGGTACCTACAGTTCTACAGTTTCAATTTACATGTCACATCATTTTCCTACACTTTACACAATTTCACTACACATGTCACATCACTTTCCTAAACTTCATACTTTGGTTATGATAATCACAATATTATTCACAACACACCGCTTATTAGTTTTCGTAACTGTTATACACGAATACTAATACACGATGATATATCACTAGTCACTATCGGACTCTTCATGACTTGAATCTTCATTTACCCTAATGATCACTGGATACTGTCCCGATGGTGGTTAAAACTGACTCGCTAAATTGCGGTGATTGTTTATTTTTTCTCAAATAATTCTGCCGTCATATCCTCGTGATAATCGGCAGAGGATTGCTTGATATTTTTGACAGACAACAACAATGCATTGTCAACAAATCCATTTTCATTGCCGACGTGGAAGATAATTCTTTTGCCTCTCGAACTCGGATTAATCACATTGCAGCTTTTTCTATCATATGCCCAACAACGTCATGAGTGTCGAACCACGTTTCATCTAGATTATAGGACTATTCGTTTCACGGTATTCCTTTATTTCAAGTAGATATTCTTGCCGACGGTCTACGATGGGTCTTTTGATTCCATAATCACCATCTTTTTGTCTAATTTCTTATCACTGAACCCGAAATCTAGTAAAACATTTCGCAACGTACTTAACGATTTGTAATTATAATCCGCGTATTCATTCAACTTATCCCTGATATCTGGCAATGTTGGCACCTTATTCTCATTATGAAATCTATATACAATTCGACGAATTACTTCTATCGAAGCATCATCAAGCTTCTTGAGTTTTTCGCTCAACTTCATGATCTACAACACCTCCGGTTCTAATAACTCTGTATATGTAACTTATTTTAGTTGATTCCTGTATATTCTTCACAAGTTGGTTTTCTGAAGAATCATTATTCTCGTCCTTAAGACGCGAATAGATATTCAAAATTACCCTTTGCATTTGAATGTGTAAGTCTTTTTTGGCGAACTCCGCTTGCTCTTCCTCCGAATCACTATCACTCACTTCGTTGACTTCCTGAAAAAACCACTATGATTGAAATAATAATTTTCTGAATTTCGAGTTGAACCAATGAAGGCAACCTCGCTCGTACCGCACTACCTAGCGCAGGCTAGAAGATTCTCATCACACAGAAGACCGCCCATGCAACTCTGTCCAATCAACATTCAGTATAGTTTGGCGTAACCAATGAGACGCGGTTTCAAGCATGACAGCGTTCGTCTAGTCCACGTTGACTGCACAGGCTGCATACCGGGAAACGGGAAAGCTTAGTAGAAAATATCTCATTCATTCCTACTCCAATGTTAAGCAAATCGACAAATCCTCGTATCGTCCTTAAAAACGGAAGTTTTTCAACTGACTTCGCATAAACTTTAACTGAGATAACACGCAACTGCATCGAAAACTGGACACACACTGTACATATAAAATATATAGATAGAATTTATTAGATTCTTGAGAATAATAATGGGAATGAGGATGTGATTAATCTAAAACATAAAATATTATTATATTGAGCGAATTTATTCGATCCAACAGTAATTGATGGTAATTGACAACAATATGAAAACTTCTGGTAGGTAGGTATATATATATATATAATAGGTAGTTATCAATTACCTATAATTATACATTGGAGAATTATATTTACAAAGTACCTATTTATAATGATTAACTTTTTAAACTCAATGATACAACCTTCTTGGACAATCCTGAGATGTTATACAGGGCGATATATTTACGTGTATGCCACACATTGGACATTTTCCCAACATATGCAGCATCGGAAACTTAAAAATTGGTTCCTCAGCTATACAGGGTGTGCCGAAAGTCAACTTATTTCTTATATTTTGTTTCACACGGTTCGATAGTGGCATTGTGATTGTGTATAAACAATATACCGGGTGACACTGGAGACATAACACGTCGCCTCACCTGAGAGCAACAATTTGAACATTTCTGAGCGGTTTGTTTCCATGGATGTGAATGACCAATAAACACAAACAAAAACAAATGTGAACCAATGAAATCAAAGTAATCAGACCGCTATCACAGCTTTCAAGAACTCCAATAGGTGGCGTACGCTTATTTTCTATCGCGAATTCAATTTCAACCGTTTTCCAATCGTCGCACTAGCTCACGAACTTTTTCCCCACTGGAAGTTTTCAATTTTTTTTACAATGTGGAAAACGGTATTATAGCGAATACCATTGGCAGGAACTGGTGGAGTGTTTCTGCACTCATTGTATATGTTTCCTTATACTCGCAAGTGATAAACAGTGGTTGTCCAGAAAATCCGGAATTTTGTGTTTGGATAACTTTTTTATTATTGAACAGATTTCTTTGATTTTGGTCTTGATTGGAAGATAATTGAACAAGACAAAACGCCAACTTAATATTTTTCAAATTCTCCCAGGAAACAAAATGGCGGACACGCCTAAACTTGATGAAAGTTTTAAACTTGCTGAAGCTTTTTTGAGTCACACTGTATATTTATGCGTATGATATTCTGAAAGCGTGTACTTTTGTGAATGCGACAAGATGTCAAAGATACAAATCCGTTGGAAATTACTTGATATATTACAGGATAAAGACAGGTGTGGTATATTTTGTTTCCTGGAAGAATTTGAAGAATATGAAGTTGACGTTTTGTCTCGTTCAATTATCTTCCAAAAAAGACCAAAATCAATGGAATCCGTTCAATAATGAAAAAGTTATCATTCAAAATCAAAATTCCGTTTTTTTTAACAACCCTATACAATCCCTGTGGAGAAACATCAGTTGCTGCCGATGGAATTCGCCATTAGATTTACAATAACAATCTGGAAACACTAAAAATCGTCATTGTTAAAAAATATCCTAAAACGATGCCTCCGTTAAAAAAGCAGAAGGTTATTGTGGTACCGACGAGGTTCTGTCAGAGGTACCAACAAGAAACACCAAGACACGAAACCGAGGACGAACAAGCTGACGATGGTAATTCTCTTTCTCGGTTTGTACGTGCAGATTTCTGCGATGTCCGGGAATCCCATGTGGTTGCAGAAAGCGTGGACGATGAAAATGGAGACGAAGTGACCGGTTCGGTAGAATAAGTAGGCCGAATACATTCCGAACATGGTCGTGTAGGTGAACTGGAAACCTATATCGGAAAATTATTTGTTCAAACCTTGTTTTTGAATGTATGAAAAATTGATATTCATCATACAAGACGTGGAAAGAAATTCTGAATTGATAGAACCTAATCAGGAATCTGCGATTGAAGGTCTATAAAAATAACAAGTTTCCATCGTTCAAGTTTTTTTTTATGTTCTGGTTCCCACGAAAACGGATATCCTGTAATGTTCAGAGAACATCGTGAGAACCAAAGGAAATAAGGTAGGAATTGGTGTGCTTCTTAAATTTTTGGAGGTTATATGCCTCGAGAACACCCCCTGTGCAATGTGTTCCAGAGAGAGCCTCGTTGTTCGTTGGATGAACGAGTCTTTGGAAAGAGATGTTCTGCAGGTCTCCAAAGTGAACACGAAGGGGTGCGAAACCTCAGATCGACGTGTTAATCTCGCGGGGACTGCCAAGGGAGGAACAATTGTTGATATTTCGGAAGAGCATCGTCAATGAAAATATCTATAAAATAGAGCCAGATCGCCAACTTTTCTAAGGTGTCCCAGAGAAGTGAGTGAGTTTGTGATCGAGACATCATCTACGAGACGAATTGCCCTTTCTTGGACAGAATCCAACAGTTTAAGGGTATGTTTCGATGCTGCACTCCAAATATGGGAACAGTACTCCAGGACAGGTCGGATCTGTGCCTTATAGATCATGAGCAGCTGACTGGAAGTGAAATTGCTTCTGGCCCGAAACAGAAAACCAAGTTTTTGGGATGCACTTTTAGCAATTGATCTCACGTGATTTTCCCAAGAAAGGTTATTGCTGATAGTGATACCAAGCATCGAAATGGATGTCTTCAAACGTTTGGTTACTCCTGACAAGCTTATGTTGGGCACAGTGAGATCGGCTGTTCTAGAAAAAAGGCATGCTTGTGTTTTATTTGCCTTGAAATCTACCAAGTTATTGGATCCCCATCCAAGTCCATATTTATGTTGTCAACATTTCTTCCTCGTTCGTTTCAGATTTGCCTCGCTGGTATTGGAGCCCTCGAAGAGAAGGCGGTATGGAGGGTACTATCATCCGCGAAGCTGTGTACTGGACATGAAGTTGCTTCCAACAAAACGTTGATATGGAGAAGAAATAGTGTTGGTGCTAGAATTGATCCTTGCGGAACACCAGCATTTATGATAAGAGAGTCAGATGAAACTCCGTCGACCACTACATGGAGAGACCTGTTTGAGAGAAAACTAGCTAGCAGAGAACATAGCTGGGGAGGCAAGCCATAAGATGGAAGCTTGGCGAGGAGTCCGTGGTGCCAGACTCGATCGAATGCCTTGGAGATATCAAGTGCCACGGCAAAGTGTTTTGAAATAACTAATATGATACAGTCTAAGGAATATTCCCATAATATCAGATTTTTTCTAATTCTTCTAATTTACGAGAAATTCCATCCCAAACATGATACAAAATTCGAGAAATAATTCAAATGATTGAACTCCGCGTGATTGTGCCTACCGCATGGAAATTTGAACAGAGGTGACGTCAGATTTCCTACAGTGTAGAACTTTGGGTGGAAAAAGGGGTCTAACCCCAAATCTTATTTTGATTCCTAATTTTTTTATCAGTGCCATTCGATAGTACACGTCGATCTTTCTCAGTGTTTGTAATATTTGCACTTATTTCAATGCCACCCTGTATATATATCTTTTTTTTTTTGGTTCATAATTATATCTGAGGATATTCCTTTTCAATACTTTCTCCCAATCAAGGGGTTCAAACTTGAGCGATGGAATCATGTTATTTTTACAGACCTTCAATCGCAGATTCGTGATTAGGTTTTCTCTATTCAGAATTTCTTTCCAAGTCCTGTATGATGAATATCAATTCATCCATTCATTCATGCATTCAAAAACAAATGCACCCAGATGACAGGAGTATGTCAACAAATCATAATTCTCAGATGTCAGTTCGTTATAGTTTTTATGCCCGATGACAGTGCTAATGTCAACAAATATCATACATTTAAAAAATATTCAAGGGATATTGAAATTGTGTATATCATGAAGAATGGCTGAAAGAATAACTGGACTTCAGGTTACTGTATTTGATATCCGAAATCGTGCTTCATATTAGTCAACTGATTCAGAATAGTCAATATGGAATTACAAAGGCTTTACTGATATCTAGACCAGTTAGTTGAAAACAGAAAGCGTCAATTTTGAATCAAATGAAATGCCGTTATACTCACATGATATTTTCAACGCTGAATCGAAGCTCATGCCCATGTGGTGAATTCGCTCCCACATGTGATGGAAATGGGCTGAAAAGTGGAAAACAGGATCAATAAAAAAACAATGAAATACTTTTTTATCGAGAATCAGCCAGACGGGAATAATTTTGTGTGAACACCGAGTATATAAAAATTAAAAATAGATACATTTCCAAAAATCCTATATTTGATGCCAGCAATATGTTCCTCATTTTTTCCGTTCAATTGGGCAACTGTGCCTACCAGGTTTGACATATGAGGATTTCTAGAAAAATCAAAAATATATCTCAATCACCCTCTTGGATAATGATATACAGGGTGTATCCATATAACAACGAAAAAATTCAAGGGGTGTTTCCTTGTGACATTATAGCAAATAAAGTTGATATAAACATGCTCCGTTATGATACAGGATGTTGAAGTTGGGAGTATTAATTGTTTTCAATTAAAACCCACCTGTATAAGCTTTCACTTTTCCAAAATTCAGTATGGATGGAGACTGAGCAAGCCCCAAAATTCCAAAATGATTTCAATTGGGGTTATTTAGTAATCTCAAAGGAGTCAAATCGAATTTTTATTGTTTCCTCAAAAACTTACGTAGATACAAAAATCACACAGTAGATGAAAAAATCGGTAAATTCACCCACTGTGACGCCACTGGAAATAAAATATTATTTCGAATCTAATTGCACCAGAAAAAGCTCCATATTACTATCAACAAAACCACAACGTTTTATTGAAATTGATGAAGACAATTGAGAAATGAATAAAAAAAAAGATTTTTCATGGAAATATTAATACCCTGTATCTCGAAAACGAAGCAAGTTAGGACTTATGTGCATGTGAACTTTATTTCCCAATATATCACAAGGAATCACCCCTTGATTTTTTTCGGTGTTATTAAAATACACCCTGTGTAAATTCATTCAGTATCTATGGTGAAAACTCGGAAAAAATAACATTTCCTTATGAAAATCTATGATAAAAAAATGCTCACGTACTCTATTTGGGTTTTCTAATTTTGTTTTCTCTTAGCATTCGATTCTGTGAATTTCTTGAAAATGTTGAACTTTTTTGGTTTTGTCTTACCTACTCCAAAAAATAATGGGCTACTGAGTACTGTGGCAGTAGGAGTGAAAGACTGAAGCAGAACTGGGAGCATACAACTTCTGTAGGTGAATTCCTCCGATAATGGTGCCACTAAATGGTTCCTAATCCATATCAATTTGTTGGTGTGTTGTTGGTTCTCTTCTGAAACATCATACAAAATATTCTGAAAGACTATATACAGGGTGATTCACGGTGAATGGTGCATTAGACGTTTCTGGAGAACGCAACCCAGGATTATTCAAAAAAAGTTGGTGACTTTTGAATAATTAGTTGTGTTCTATCGACCTGAAATATTCTCAGCGACGTTGTCGCTTATATTGAAAAGTAGCAACAATTTTGATTTTTTCAATGGAACACCCTGTATATCATTCCGTTTTCAGATTCTCCCTGAAGGGCTGATTTCATCGATCTATCAGACTTGGGGTCTAGCGAGAATGATAACAAAGATATAGGGTGTGAAAAATCGAAATTTAAGAATTTTTTGTGTCGAAACTATTCATAATTGATCAAAACGGTTTTCATGTCCCTATCTTAACTTTTCATGTACTATCAATTGATATCTAATTGAAATTAATACAGAGTGGCAAATAATAAGTTATAATTGATTGGTGATATAAATTGGCCACAAATTTTGGTGCATCAGTTCTTCTCAATTATTCTCAAAAGTGAATAGATACCAGGTTTTTTCAGGTTCATATACATATAAGCCCAGCAGAACAGTGGATTGAAAAAAAAAACGATGAGCGTAAATTATTCTGTGTGGGCGATAAATTAGCTACGAATAAGCGACAAATTATTGCATAGTTCCGAAATGGTTTTGCTAAGTTTGTAGTGGCCAAAAACCCGGTATTCATAATATATCATTGATTTCTGGACTCGCTCTTGTAGCATGAATATGAACTGTTGATTATTCGATATAGAGGGTGATGGTATCTCAGAAAAAACAAATAGTGGGTGTGGCATCACCAACCATAATACTCGAGTCATCCAAGATCTCTTAGTTATGATATTGAGTTGTTTTAATATTCAACACTTCGTTTTAACACTAACCAAACCGATTTTTTACACCTCGACACGTGTTTCGCTAACTATGTTAGCATCTTCAGGAGAAGATTAAAACTGACCTAAACTAAACCAGTGTGTAGTGTATTAGCCTGCCAAAGGTTCTAGTCTTCGATAAAGTTGTTTTAATGTTGATGAAATTAAGAAAATATGCTTGTTTTTCCAAACATTTCAACGACTTCTCATGTGGGCTATATAGGTATATATAGGTTGATGGAGAAATACTACTTTCTTTTACCTTTTCTTTTAGCGTATAGTTTGGAAAATCCATTGCACAGCTCCATAGAAATGGGGCCCAAAAAAAGTATCATGGTCAGAAATAGCGGCACAAAAATAGCTTGGCCTAATCCCTGATATCTTAGTCCCATTATTTCAAGAAATGCTGCCTGAAATAATTTTGTATAATTACTTTTTCATCCTGCCATGAAATTGGAAATTATTTCATTGAAAATTCCACACCAGTGATTTTCATACAGTTACATTTTTTTATGTTCTGGTTCCTACAAAAAGGGATATCCTGTAATGTTCAGAGAACATCGTGAGAATCAAGGGAAATGAGGAAGGAATTGGTGTTCTTCTTGAATTTCTGGAGGTTATATGCATCGGGGAACACCTCCCTTGGCAATGTGTTCCAGAGCCTCGCTGCTCGTTGGATGAACGAGTCTTTGGAAAGAGATGTTCAGCAGGTCTCCAATTGGGTTTTTATGACAAATTACCATAGCAGCGTATGTATTTTAGTGGGAATTTTGACGTCCTAAAATAGTGATTTTGAGCCACTTCAATTGGATAGAAATCAACAATTGATAGGCTAAGAATCCATTGATTCCCTTTACCTATGAAAAATCAATTGACAAAATTATAATTTCTTATCACTTGTAGTATCCCGAAGTTAATATAAAATGGAAGAATATAATTATGTTACATTTTAACCTCATGAACCTGTATGCAAATCAAATGAACAAATAAATTCTAGAATTATTTAATTTCTAAACACAATCTGGTGTGGAATTTTCTTACCGAATACCACACGAGGTCAAATTACTTTCCGGTAATTTTTTCTCACTCATTAATTAATATTTCCATGAGCTCGAACAAATTTCCGGAAATAATTTAAACTCTAGTGGTATTACAAGTGAATATTTTTTGAATTCCCCACAGCGATGATGACGATTATCTTCTTCATAATCTAAACGAATTTTGAGTTAGCAAGCTAACTTAGAAAATGCCAAGATGCTCAAAGTGAAATGAAATAATAAATGAATACTCAAAGCTCAGTCATTTTCACAAATGGTCATAAATGAACAAAACTGGTAGATAACGAGAGAAAAATATCTACTTTCCCGGCTATATGTCACGCAAAACATTGAATTACATCCTCCCGAAATCTATGCAAGGATTCGATCGTATAGACGAATATGAACACGCAAGTGTTTTCTTCCTGAATGCTGAATTGTGCTTAAATTGTTCAGGAAAACTTGTCTACCTACAGACCGATTTCTAGCTTTATTGGCTCTCATCAGTGCAAGGTTCTCTTCAGAATTGTATCTACGTTGAGTCAGGTTCGCACCAGATAGCGGTCATGAATACTATCTGGAGACAGCCCTGCACTCATGAGAGCCAATCAAAATGATATTGAACATATATTTCTATCTGAATTATAATTTTTAGTGATATGCAGTGACCGAATAAAGGATATTGAAGGTTGAACGGATCACTCGCCATAATCACGAACACTGAATTATTTACAAGGTGCGCAGAAAGGTGGGTCCAGAAAAAGGATGTATAAGATATTGAAAATCTCAGTTTCTTTCAAATGGGAACCCATTTTTTACTTCTTATGATTCAATTAGATTATAAAAATTAGCCCTAGTTCCAATTACGTTCCTATACCCAAAACTCATGATTTTGTAGATATTGCATAAATATTACTTTTATATACAGTGTGGTTATTTAAGTGTGCAACACATGGAAATTTTTTAAATGAATTGAACAAGCAGAATACAGATAGTGCCGAAAGTTGGTGCATGTTTGGTAATCATTTTGGGTGCACTTAGAATGGTTGTATGTCACACAGCATACAAGGTAGGTCAAAAAATATAGAAATTGCTCAAGAGTAAAGTACCCTCATTTCAGAGAATTCAGCGAAATGTATTTGAAAAGAGTTGTTAACAATTGGAAGTTATGCCTAAATGCCAAAACATGGCCTCCTGAGACATTTTTCAATTTTGTTCGTGAATAATTTCTCAATTTGTAATTTTTTTTCATCCACCCTGAATACTTTCATAAGTTAATCATAACGAAATCAGTTGAGCATACTTTTGTTCAAATTCAAGCATATTTGTGCAATTAACTTGGATTTTAATTTTTTTAGGGAATCACAAACTTTATGTTTGTTGCAACAATATTCAGCTTAACTTTGAAATTTCGCAAACCATATTTTCAACAAGGTTAAACATCATTAATGATAATATGCATATTCAAAAACTTCCATTCGATGTGAACATTTTGTATTCGAAATATTACAAAGTGGGGAATCATCACCGAACAGAATTGGGGAAAACTAAAAAATATCTTAGGAGGCCATGTTTTGATATTTAGGCATAACTTCCGATTGTTAACAACTTTTCTCGATAACATTTTGCTGAATTTTCTGAAATAAAGGTACTTTACTCTTGAGCAATTTTTATATTTTTTGACCTACCCTGTGTGCTGTGTGACTTGAAATCATTCTAAGTGCTCCTCAAATATGATAACCGAACATGCACCAACTCTCGCCACTATCTGTTTTTTGGTTGGCAATTCATTAAAAAGAATCCCATATGTTGCACACTTAAATGACCACACTGTATAATAACTGCCTGAAATTTTGGATTTTTCTAAAATGCCCATAATTATGTTTTTTATTTCGGGTACCTAAATCGAAAGTGATTTGAGCTGGTCAAATTATGGAAACTGTATTTTGGAAGACTAAAAATTAAAACAACAGGAGTCAAGATCACTCGGCATATATCGTGATTATAAAATACCTTTTCAACTGTTTCGTCATCTAATCCAATGTATAAAAAACATGGTGATACGAATAGCATCGTGAAAGCACTTATAAATCTCTTCTTTATCGTCGATGGATGATCTCTGAAAAAATAAGTACATACTAATATTGACTCAATCCGATATCGGAAAATATTCGTATATAAAAGTAGGTATTTAGATTGTATATTTTGATAGTTTTTATTTCTGGGGTATCTAAAATCTATGTGGAAACTTCAAATAGTTCATATGCGACATGTTTTTATTTCAATGTTTGATAAGTAATAATATATTATACATCAAGGGAAAGAAATGCAAGATTTTTTCCAAGGCGCGAATTACCGAGGGAAAAATAGCATACTGTCCTGAGGTGTATATACTATTTTTTGTGAGAGATACAAAGCACCGAGAGTCCTAGTAAAGTCATGTAGCTAAAATATAAGCTTTTATATTGATATCAAATTTTCACATATCAGTTACATCATAGTTACGTAACATTTATATATAATTATGGGGTTCACATATTTTAGAATTGTTATGGAATATTTACGTAAATATTTTATATAAATACGAGGTTTACATATTTTAGAGGTATTATGGAATATTTACGTAAATATTTTATCTAAAAAAGTTCCGTTGATGTTATATAACAGTGATGTAAATATAACAGATGTGTTAGCTGGGAATTAGTAGTGGTATAGTTTGTGGAATTCGTATCTTGAACAACATACATCTTGTTGACAACCCATGGTCACAGCAAATATCAAACTGAAATTTATGAAAACAGCTTTGAATATGGTTAAAGGTTATGGAACAAGAAATCGAGGGAAAACCCCAAGAAACTATTGATACTGCTTCTGCAGTGATTCTTAACTTGCTACCAGTGAGATCTAGAAATCTGTCATACTGGCTTCAGAAAAGGGTGTTCCGAAAAGAAAGCGCAGAGCTATGCGGAAAATGTAAAGTTGGTATACACTCCCTAGGGAGAAAATATGTCACATTATCTCCCTAGGGACGAGATTTCTGCCCCTCTTTTGTTACCAGAGAAACTAACTTCGACTCCTGCTGGCGTAAAAATTGACATTTCCCGGTCAGTTATCATTGGACCAACAATGATCAAGCCTAAAATGAATGGTTCCCCTCGTGGTTCCCCGATATTGGCGGTGAGTAGGCCAGCGGGTAATTCATGTGATTTACCATTGAAAAATTCCAATATTGTGCCAATGATAGTTCACTGGGTTCATAATGCTGAAAAAGTGATGGCCCCAGTATTGATATTTGCTGGGAAAAAATCGAAAAAAAAAAAAAAATAGAAATGCTTCTTATTATTCTTTGACGTTTAGAAAATGATTCATCCCGCTTATTTTTTTGCGAAAAATTGCTGAAACATTGATTTTGTCATTAAAACTGATCTTCATCAGACACCTGAAAAGTATAGTTGATGTATGTATACACATATGCAGGTTTAGGATAAAGTATGGAACCATACAAATATCTCGGTAACCGTTTGTTAGATTTTTTTGAATTTATGTACGTACAGGGTGATTTCAAAACGTGTCAGATTTGGAAATGTTATCGCCAATGTTGCCACTTTTTCAGTTATTCCGAAAATATCATTAACTTCCTTATTTTAAATAGAACACCCTGTATCTTGATGAAATTTCAGATTTTCCCTGAAAAGCTGATTTCATCGAAATATCACACTTGGAGTCTAGCAGTACCTAATGATTACATAGATATAGAGTGTTCAAAATCGATATTTATTATTTATCAACTTTAGGATTTATTTGTGTTGAAACTATTCATTATCGGTCGAAATTGCTCACATATCCCTATCTTAACTTTTGATTCACTATCTACTGACATTTAATTGGAACGAATAAGGGGTGGTTCAAGAATCAGAATTCTGATCACCTTGTATCTGTTTCAATTAAATGTCAGTAGATAGTGAATCAAAAGTTAACATACGGACATGTGAGCAGTTTGACACAAAAAAATCCTAAAGTTGAAAAATCTCGATTTTGAACACCCTATATCTCTGTAATCATTCCCGCTAGACCCCAAGTGGGATAGATCGATGAATTCAGCTTTTCAAGAAAAATCTGAAGATTTACTAAAATACAGGGTGTTCTATTTGAAATGAGGAAGTTAATGATAATTCCGGAATAACTGAAAAAGTGGCAACATTGGCGATAACATTTTCAAATCCGACACGTTTTGAAACCACCCTGTAAATAAATTAGGGATCGACCGATACCGATATTTATATCGGCCTATCGGTGATATCGGCCTCATTGGCCGATTATCGTATCGGCCGATATCAAAAACCGATAGACCGATATACTGATATATTTTTTTATTGGGAAAAAAAATCAATTTGAAGAATGAATGAAAAAAATACACTTCCATCAAAAATATATCTTTATTACCAATAAAAAATATGTAACGTAAAATCAACTAAATTCTTTGACTAGTAATTAACAATTAATAAAATGAAACCCTATGCGGATTGCAACTGTAAAGTAAAATTAATTCACCCTACTAAAATACAAAAATAACTGATTAATACTGATAATTTAGTTTTGGTAGGTTGTGATGCAAAATCAATATGCTTTCTGCCCTATCAGCAGTTAGCCTGCTACGTTTTGCATCATAAATATTACCAGATTCAGAGAAAACTTGTTAACGGCCGATAGACCGTTAACAAGTTTTCGAAGTTTCACGAAATACAAAATCTCTTCATTCTATCGATATATCGGTATTCGAAATATCGGTATCGGCTAAAATTTCTTTATCGGTCGATCCCTAAAATAAATTCAAAAAAATCTAATGAACGGTTACCGAGATATTTGCTTGGTCCATACTTCATCCCAACCCTGTATATAAATCTAAGGTACAAATTAATAATCGTTTATTTTTATCAAGCGTACCTAGGAAACCATTCAAGTTATCTTCTATATTTGGGTACATATACAGGGTGAGTCATAACTATTGGGACATAGGCTAAGGGTGGATTGTTATTTGGACCAAAATATGGCGATAGTACCAATGAATATGCCTTATGCCATAATAAAATATAGCTGTGGAAAAAGATACAGGGCGTTTCAATCGAAAAAGTTCCTATATTGACTATTAAACTCGAACTAAAATTTATTCAATGACAAGATATATGTCATTTATTACCAGCAATAATTATCTGACAGTCCAAAGGACACTCTCCATAAATTAAATAATATTTGGAAACCCGCCTTATGAGACTTTGAACTGTTCAAATCTCGAAAACATCGAAACCGGATTATAATGAAATATCGTGTTTAAACAAGAGTACACTAATATATTAGTAGAAATGATTTTTATGTCATATTTTCTTATCAAATCACTTGAAAAAATTCTTCAAAATAACCCCTGTAACAAACTGTAGAATATAATACATAAAATAATATTTTCTGTATAAAATTATGCCTCTCTGTGCCGATTTTGATATATACAATGAAATTATTACAGCAAAAAAAGAAAAAAAAAACTCCAACCACTTTTATCTTTTTCCACAGCAATATTCTATTGATCATTCTAGAACACGTGATTTTGACATGGTTTCTTGAGGGGCACACAAAAAATCTGTTAGAGCCCAGTCAACACACGGACATTCGATGGACATCCATTGGACGTCCATTTAGGATATTTGGGATATCCAGAGAATATCCAGTGATATCCGATGTATATCTTATGGACGTCCAATGGACGTGCCGAGTGGAAGGAGTTGGACTTCTATAGGATATCCTTCAGGGACATCCATAAGACATTTTTCAGGGATATCCATAAGATATTGTTCACAAATATCCATAAGACATTTTTCAGGGATATCCATAAGATATTGTTCACAAATATCCATGAGATATTTTTCAGGGATATTTACTAAATATCCTTAACAATATAGAACACCATGTATATTATTCCATAATGAATTAGGAACTATTATAACGAATTCAACGGTACCGGATTGGATAGGGTTATTTCAAACGATTACGAAGATATGGCATTCGAAGTTTTCATATGCTCATTGAGGATATGGAAATGTGAATATCTTTCTAATCGTTTGTAGAAATCCTATCAAACACAGTATCGTTGAATTCGTTATGATAATCCTTAACCGATTATGGAATAAAATACAGGGTGTCCCGTTTGAAAATGCCATCCTCGGTTAAACCAAAAGTGCGGTAAAGCAAGTAGATATGTCGAATAATATAAAATGAACTATAATTCATGACCCCAATTGACGTTTTACTACCTACAATAATGAAAAAGTTATAGGAGTGAACCACCTTAAGCTTTAGCTCATACCTCATGAAAGAATTCAATTTACCATGACTTTCGACATGGATGCATTTTTAGACCAATCAGAACGATTCTAGCCATGGAGGTTTATTCGAATTGAATTCAATCTTTTGAGAGATAAATAGAGGAGGCGAGGTGGCCGGATTTGAATCGCGTTATCCCTAGCGCAACAATGAAGCGATTTTCCGAAATGCTGTTAAGGTGAATTCAAGAATTAGATTCACTTAGATTTTTCCATCTTTCTTTTGGAAAATTTGTCATTCACGCGAATGCCATATTGATTTATATTTTATTGCTTCAGAATATTTTATTACTATCCATTGGGAAAATACCTGCCCAGTTTTGAATTCATCAGGGATGCGAATATATCTTCTTATGGATCTCCATCTCAATCCCAAGGAAAAAAATGGAGATACAAGTTATTTCTGAAAAATCATATTTTTGTGCGAAAAGGTTGAAGAACAAAAGTTATTTTGACATAAATATGATTTTATGTTTTCTTTGGATATCTTATGGCTATCCATAAGATATCTTCTGATGGATATCCGCTATAAATCCATGGATGAATATCTCATGGATGTCCATCTGAAGACCACAAAAAAGTAAATATATGAGAGCTATTTTCGAGTGATTGTATATTTTTGTACGAAAACATTGAACAACAGAGAAAAATTCCAAACTGTGGTGTTGTTATTTATATGAATTCATATTTGCATTGGATATCTTAATTGTGGCTATATATTATACCTACATAAAAATAGTTATATGATGGAAAACTACCTTTGAATTTCTAATAAACATATGATATTTGCATGTGATATTTGTGATGATTCGTATTGTTTTGAACCATTCTCATTTAACAATTTTTGTTCGCTAAACGAACATCTTATGGATGTCCATAGGTGATCCGCATCAGAATATCCATTTGATATCCTCTGACGGATATCCTATGGATATCCATTTCATGTCCCAGGATATCCCGACCTGAAATGGACTTGAGAAGGATATCCATAGGATATCCTGTGTTATCTGGGAGGTTACCTTTGATGAGCATAGCCCTGGCCATCCCTGCCACATCTACAATATAATAACAGTTTCACCAAACACAATTATGGAATTCTTTCTAGTTCCAACTCGGATTCCAAGGAAAACGATCCTACTCATTCTGGTTTTATATGACATATCTTGACAAAATACAATGTTTGCCCCTCAGCAACCTGTCAAATGACGTAATTCTGGAATGATTTATTGAGGTATGTTTGGTCCTATAGCCATATTTTGGTCCAAAAAATACGCCCTTGAGCCCTCTATATGACTCACCCTGTATAAGGCGTACATATCATTGAATTTTCAATCAATGAATTTAATGGTCACATCTCGTCCTTATGAAAGCTGACCATTATCTTACAGAAAAAAATGATTATGCAATATGGGGTGAATAATTTTGAATGTTTAAACGCAACCCATATCTCTAGGAATTTTTCGGTTCCCACGGTAGGTATGATCGGATCGCAAACATCTGAACGGTGTCGGTGATCGTTGATCGACAAACTAGAGTCTAACTTGCTAACGGAGGAGCCGCCGAAATTACCCGAATGTACACCGAAAGACGGCAATGATGCCAAATGAGTCAATAATTCGTGGAATCAAGTCTACACGAAATTTCCTGAATAAAAACAGCACTGAAATCGAATATGAGGACGGAAAATATATATTCTGCATGACTATTAAAACTAAAACTTCCTACTCAAACACTAGGTTAGGTGTTTGGGTAACTAGGGAAAGGTAGTCTGTCGGCCTTAAATAACTTTTTTTCTAGAAAGTATGTTTTTCGGAAAAATTTCTTGAGAAAACAAATTGGAAATTTAAAAATGAGTCTGTTCATCCTGAACGCACTAGCCTATTTGGCTTCAAATATTTCCTGAGGAAGGATAACCAGAATGAAGTGAGAAAGCATCGATGAAAAAAAGTTGTGAAAAAAAGTTCAGATCCACAGCGACTCGAACCATGGAGTCGACAGCGCTAAGCACTACCCCACTACTAAACCGTTAGGATATAATATGAATTCACTGACATCGAGAATAAAAGTACCACTAACAATAATCAAAAATAACAAACATACATCACTTGGCATCACTGCTGTCGTTCGGTTCAATTTCGGCGGCTCCCCCGTTAGCAAATTAGACTATAGTGACAAACTATGCTAGGATTGCAAACTTGCGTCTAGCCCCTGCGTGCAACTGGCGTGCCCAGGCAAACATTCGAACGCCGGCCTTATCCAGCACCGCGCCGACTGCCCATCGGAAAACGTGCGTTTATCGATTTGTGATTCGTCAAAAAAATTTCAAATAAAATTGCATCGTTATTCACTCGATTCCATTGATGAGGAAAAGAGGAACTTATTCTAAAAACAGTCTTCACGAATTTTTGAATGACCCATAGGCTTTTAGACTTAGATTACTTTTGTTGAGTCGATTTAAATAAAGTGACTCTTCACGAAAAGGAAAGAATTCAATTTCTTCAAAAATGTTGAATACAAGTGACTGACGATGATTTTTGTTGGGTATATATCTGAAAAGTAAACTTAACATGCAGAAAGAAATTCATTGATAAATTAATAGAACTAGAGGTACATCGAAAAAATTTCATATGTATTCAAATACCTTTGTCAGACTTATAGGTAAGGTGGCTATTGGCAATTATAGCAACCTTATTACTTATAGGTATGATTGGATACCTATGTTATACCACTGTACCTACTTGATGCAAATGAATAACAATTGTTATTATTATATCAATTGCACCTATAGAACCTACCTTGAAGGCAGCATCTGTATCTTTAGATAAATATACTGTTCTGAATGAGAGAGTTAACATGAGTCACAACACAAAAATCGAACCACAACGAAGGCTGTATTCATCGAAAAAAAAAATTAACAAATCTAATAAGTTGAAAAAACCATCAACAGACGAGAGGAATAAGATAGCAATTTCCCTTTTAAATAACTCTGCACCAACCCCACATGTATTCAAAAGATTCTTTTCGAGAGTATTTTTTTTTAATATAGTGTATCGATGATGGTGAACAATACATGATTCTGCACTATCGTATGCATCTATGTCTGTATTTTTTATGAACATTAAACTTTTTTCATGAATAACTGTTGCATTAATTTTATTCGTTTTACAAATTAGTTACTTTCATTGTTTAGTTATTATAATTAATTTGGCACCCTTGTACATATTCTACCCGCATAATGTAAAACCATTGTCGGCTAAATGAAAAATGATCAAACCAGCCGTCTTGATTATTTTTCATTTAGCCGACAATGTTTAAAACATAGCCATAAACCAAAATCGTATTTCGATGTGCAGTCGGCGCTGGATGGCCGGCGTTCGAATGTTTGCCTCGGCACGCCAGTTGCACGCAGGGGCTAGACGCAAGTGGATTGCAATGGGTGCGCGGGGAGAGCGAAGGGTAACGGGTAACGCAAGTATCACAGGGGCTGCAGGCTCTCGGTTCCTCGAAATTTCGTCGTTCGGGTGCAACTTCAGATATCGGCAATCGAAACTCACCTGTTAAAACGACTGTTCCACACATGAAGACTAGCCAAGTAGGTCACCGACAACAGGAAACAAAGAAAAATTGATTTGAAACATTTGAAAACTCCATCAAAGTCATGCTCCATTTTGACGTTTGACGGTCACGTGATGGCGAGCCGCTGCTCCTATTCGTCGAGCCAGCCGACCTGCGCACTGCCTGTCTTCTCGGGAACCGTACGATTCTTAAAAATGGCTGTTCGTGGTAGTGCTGGTGTTTCCTTTGTTTAGTATTGGAAATTTGGTTTGCAGAGTTTTCTGAAGATGCCCAGCGCCTCTTTCACGGCCTCCAGGTCGTACGTGAGGAGATCTCGCAGAAAAGGAGCTAATAGAATCCCCACACCTTCGAGAACAACGTCTGGTGAGTGGATCTGCTAGTATGGAAGTTGTTTAGGCTCGACCCTAATCTTGCTATTTTCCTGGCCTGGATGTTTGAACGAACACAGGGATATCCTTACTTTAATGACTGCATTGAGGAATTCGTTAGATTGTGGAGACTTTCCATCAATCTTTTTTTATTTAATAAGGGAGCAGCCTTGTCTATTTGTCATTTGTCAATGAGTATTAAAATGTCATCTCATTTATAAAAATAAATCCATTTCACAGTATGTAGGTAGTTTAACTGGAATGGAAAAGTATTATATCCAGTGCAGTTGCTAGACAGTTCTTTTGTGCTGAATAGTTCTGATTCTGAAAATTTGGCAAAAAAATTACCACCCAACATCAATACTTTGTTAAATTGTTGGCCAACCATTTTTCCTCATTTGGTTTGAAAATGTGAAAGTTGATGAACATTAAACTGCCACTTGTAAACCAGAAAATTATCATGAGTGAGATTGTTACCATGAAGTCAACAATATTCACTATTCTTGCTGAATAGAAGTTCAATGGAATTTTATCATCACTACCAATGTCATTTATCTGTTCAGGAAGTTTAAATTTTGATTTGATTTTGTGTGCTTCCTTGTTGACTCAAGTTGTAAGTAGGCTACATTTGAATAAACTGAGAAAAAACACTAATTGGTATTATCTACTCACTTCCATGATGTTTATAAAGGCATCATTAAAGAGTACCCCATTAATTATCATTCTAAAATACCTACTTACCTACCTTGCACCTCAGTAAATGTAAAATTGATTGTGCATTTATGATTAGTTATGATTAACAGACTTTGAAAACAGTAAACATCTATGCCCTACCTGGCCCTACCTTGGAATTCCTTGTGAAGTACATAAATAAATGGCTTATTAGTTACTTGTTTTATACAGGGTATTTCTAAATGTCTTCTACATAAACTGAGTGCTGCAACTGATGCCAGAAATAAATTCAATAATCATTAATCAATCATCAAGTAATAAATAAAACTTTCACAAGAATTGATCAGAATTTCTGGTCATGGATTGCTAATGAAATAGTTGAAGTAATATTGTTGAATCTCAAATTAAAACTTCCCAGTTTGAGTGATTTTATTATACATGCCAGTGTTTTATTTTTTATTTTTTTTTTACAATATCTTGTTCTGACTCACCCTATATAAATAATCTAAAAGTCCGAGATATGAATTAATTTTTCAGTAAATTTTCCAGGAAATACCTGCAATCTGAGAGAATTTTCTTTGAAAAAGTGGTACTTTTGCTGCCTAGTCTGGAAAGAATTGTAAAAGACTCATTATGATAAACTTGAATATAGGCACAGGTATGTTGTTGAAATCTACTATTAAAATGATAGCTGAGTGCAAATTACCACACAGGAAAGTGCAATTTTTCAATCATTTTGCTCAGAATAGTGATTGGCACAGCTGCTTTGTTATCAGATGACTATTGACATTTGTAGCCGCCTCTCCTAGTATTAGGAAGGGTTCAATGCTCTAATATTAGCAATTTTTCAATCAATATTCATTCATTCATTAAGAAGGCAAGCCGAATATACCATAAAAAGTGTAAATTCCTACCTCACAACATTATCTGAAACATTATTAAGCTATGTAAATTGTAAATACTGGTAAGTGAATATGACTATTAATTATTATTCCAGATTATTTGGGAATTTCTCTCCTCTCTATAAAATAAAAAATATCAATAATATTTCAATATATGTGTGTAATAAGGACAAATCAGATGATTTGCCCCAAAATGTCACTATTAATATTTGTCTGACTGTTCCCAGATCAATATCATAAAGGAACTGATTTTATGAGAAGCTTTTATTTTGGAATTTCCACCAGATAGAGATCTTCCACCTACCGAACTCCTTAGCAGCTTTAAAAGAAACCTTTTTCTACAAACATAAAAAAAAGACTAAGGACCGACCGATACCGATATTTATATCGGCCTATTGGTGATATCGGCCTCATTGGCCGATTATCGTATTGGCCGATACCAAAAACCGATATATTTTTTTATTGGGAAAAAATCTATTTGAAGAATGAATGAGAAAAATAACTTCCATCAAAAATATATCTTTATTACCAATGAAAAGTATGTAGTGTGAAATCAACTAAATTCTTTGACTAGTAATTAAAAATTAATAAAATAAAACCCTATGCGGACTGTAAGGTAAAATTATTTTACCTTACTAAAATACAAAAATAACTGATTAATACTGATAATTTAGTTTTGGTAGGTTGTGATGCAAAAACAATAAGCTTCCTGCCCTATCAGGATTTAGCCTGCTACGTTTTGCATAATAAATATTTTCAGCTTCAGAGAAAACTTGATAACGGCCGATAGACCGATATATTGGTATATCGGTATTTGAAATATCTGTATCGGCCGATTATTGATATCGGCTAAAATTTCTATATCGGTCGATCCCTAAAAAATACATGGTTCATGCATTCATAACAATTTGCAAAGTGACACTTTTTCAGTTATCATGACACCATGTGCCAACAGATTTTTTCTTTTTATTATGGCTCTTTTAATCGGTTACATTTTAGGGTTCACATCATGCAGTATGCCCAGTGATTGAAAAAATCCTCGAAAAAATCTCCAGAGAAATATTTTTTGAGTGGTCAAGCCCTTTTCGCTCTGTAAACTTTTTTCTGGTGCCCTGCTGGTAGATTTTGTAATCTGAAATGAGCTCTTAGTTCTGTTTCCAAACTTTTTTCTCCTGTATTTTTTTCGCCCCTGAAATCTTGATACCCAATTTTGAAACACCCTGTATAGTTATTGAAGCTTTTTTTATATGTACAGGGTGAGTCAATAGTGTGTTCTCCTTCAGTCAAACCGTCAGATAGATAAAAAAAGTCAAATACAACAGCAATAGGGTTTCATGAGAACTATCACCTCGAATTATTTCCATATCTATAGGGTGTGTGATTTCCAAGATATCTGATTATGTGTTTTTTAATGGTACTCCCTATATATTATCGAGTATATTATTGCATTTTTAGAATCTCCCTGAAAAGTTGATTTCATCAATGCATCACACTTGGGGTCTAGCGGGAATGATTACATATATACAGGTGTTTTAAATATAGATTTTTCAACTTAATAACTTTTTTGTGTCCAAACTATTCATTATCAGTCAGAACGGCTTACATGTACCTATCTAAACTTTTGATTATCTATTTACTGACATTTAATTGGAAAAATACAGGGCTGTCCAAGATTCAGAATTCTGATCATCCTGTGTCTATTTCAATTCAATGTCAGAAGATGATGAATCAGAAGTGAAGGTCGGGGCATGTAAGCTTTTTTGACCGGTAATGAATAGTTTGCACACAAAAAATCCGGAAGTTGAAAAATCTCGATTTTAAACACCCTATATTGAAGAAATCAGCTTTCAGGGAGAATCTATAAATGCAATAATATATATTGTCCCATTAAAAGAACCCTCAGCAGCCGATATCTTAGAAGTCAAACACCCTATAGAGATGAACATAATTTTAGGTGATAGTTCTATTACTGTTGTATTCGAATTTTTTCTATATATCTGACGGTTCGGCTAATACCGAAGAAGAACACACTATTGACTCACCCTGTATATCTCCTACAAGGTTGGACAAGTGGAAGATTTAATACTAATGAAGAGCAGAGATACCCTCCCTTGAATATGCACCTCTTTTATGTTTTTAGACACCTCCTTTTTTTCAGAATTTTTGTAGTTTTTTAAGCATTCATCAATCATCATTTGTACCTTCGTTAGTGATGGGCGGTGGGTATTCATAAATTGGACATTTATCCGGGTATTCCCCGGATTATCACCCTTTTTTTTTTTTTTTATCGCTTGAAGCGCACGAGAGGGAATCCCTATAATGTTCAAAGAACATCGTGCGTTCCTAGGGAGGATAGGGATAGGAGGTAGGTATTGGAATTCTTTTTGAACTTCTGGAGATTATATGTTGTTGGGAATACTTCCTCAGGCAATGAATTCCAGAGCCCAGCCGTTCTATGGATGAAGGAGTTTTGATAAAGTGCTGTTCGGCATCTTTCGAGGTTGACAACGAAGGGATGTGCTGACTGGGCTTGTCTAGCAGAGATTTCCGAAGAACATTTCCCGTGGAAGTATCGATAGAAAAGTGAAAGGTCGCCGACCTTTCTACGGTGTTCCAATGATGTCAAAGAGCGAGTGAGTGTGGCGTCACCCACCAGGCGGATGGCTCTTCTCTGGATGGAATCTAAGAGCATCAGCGTATGTTTCGGTGCTGAACCCCATATGTGGGAACAGTATTCTAGAACAGGCCGTATCTGCGCTTTGTAGATCATGAGGAGCTGTTGAGGTGTAAAGTAGCATTTCGCACGGAACAAGAATCCGAGTTTTTGTGAAGCAGCTTTTGCGATGGATCTGACATGATTATCCCATGAAAGAGTGTTGCTGATGGAAATACCGAGCATAGATATGGTGGGTTTGGTGGGGATGGTGGTGCCAGACATTACAATGTCGGGCATACTGAGTTCCGCCTTTCTAGAGAAAATACAGGCTTGAGTTTTGGTGGCGTTGAATTCAACTAGGTTGTTGGTTCCCCAGGCTGTGATTTCAGCAAGGTCTTCATTGACAGCATTGACCTGCCTGCGCCGTGTGTTCTTAGTTTCCTGGGAAGAAATAGGAATTCTGGAAGAGAACGCTGTATGGAGGGTACTATCATCTGCAAAGCTGTGGATGGGGCAAGTTGTTACTCCCAACAGATCATTGATATGAAGAAGGAATAATGTTGGTGCCAAAATTGATCCTTGTGGGACGCCGGAATTGATGCCAATGGTATCAGACGATACACCGTCCACCACCACATGAAGCGATCCTTCTGAAAGAAAACTCGATAAGAGATGGCATAGCTGAGGTGGTAAGCAGGATGATGGTAGTTTATGGAGGAGTCCTTCGTGCCAAACACGGTCAAATGCTTTCGATATGTCCAACGC